TTAGTAGCGTGGTGAAACAAAGTTGTCTCTGGCACCGAACGGGTTTGTGTTGGCCGCCCGCCCTGCAGTGTGGCGACAGTGGCCTGTTTTCATTATTGCTAATAGTCATGTCCCATGCTCGGTTCTCGTCGTATTTTCGGTATATACGGGTCAATGTCCCACTACGCGTCAGCGTATAACGGCGTTTTCTGCATTATTTATGCGTCGGTGGCTGGAATCACTCGGCGTGGCAGGGCCTGGACTGTGTCTGTGTTTTGTGGACCTTTGTTCGTCGTTAGGAAACGGCCACTGGTCTGTCATACAACTGGTATAACGGGACCCGATCAACTTCTTGCCCTGGCCTGGTATGACGCAGTTTCTTTGTGTGTGCTGTATTGTGTCAGTTGGACTCATTGGTACCCCATTGTGTATCGGTAATGGTACCTACATGACTGGCCTAATCGTGGCTGACCTGACCTGACCTGACCTGACCTGACGCGCCCCGGTCAGCTCGGACACGGGGGAGCGCCAGCGCCACTCAGAGTCGGATGACACGGCGGAGGAGGAGTTCGGCCCCGGACCCGACTCTGTTCCCGGCTCCGGTGCCGACGGCGAGCGCCTCTTTAAGAAGACGCTGCGCCTCTCCTCCGAGATGATCGTAAGTCAGAGACCGGGGTATAGACTGGGCCGGGCTGGGAGGCAGGGCTGCAGCTGCTGCTTTGTTGGGCAGTAAATCAGAGCCCAGGCCTTAGACAGCCATTCGACTCGCAGTGAGCTGCAGTCCGGATTCTGGACTTTAACTGCCGTTCGACTGACAGTAAGCCAAACGAGGAACTTCAGTAGCCGTTGGGTTGTAGGAATACTTCAGTAGCCGTAGGGCTCACAGACCGGTCGTCCGCAGCCGGGCGGGGCGGAAGGCCGCAGTAGCCCGGTAATTTTCCACTGGTTCTGGACCAGTTTAGTCCAGTCGGGTGGACTGGGACGGACCGTTCAGCCGCCGGGTGGCCCGCACCGTAACTGTGCCGATCTGTGTGCCGGATTTGCCACCCGGGGTGGCTGGTGCGCTCCGATAAACATTGTGTCTCCATCCGGCGGCTGCCCACGAGCCGGCACCGTGGCCCGGTCACGTGTTTAAACGAGAGATGACTTGCAGCAGGGGCATGTATGGACCGAGTGATTGCTAACAGATTTGGCCCACTGAGGGTACCCGAAAAACCATCCCTAAAAACCGCCAACAGCCGCGGGCCTTTTTGTGCCGCTGTTCTTTCTACAGACGTGACTGGCAATTGGGCTGATGACGCCCCACTCTGGCACTCTCGGCGATAATGTTGTTGCGTAGGAGGTGTCGGAGCCTGTCCGGTCGTGTAGGTAATTCGGTTTGAGTGGACGCAGGTGTATCGGCCGCCCACACCTCCCGGATGTAGACCGGCCGGTTTTCAAGGCCACGGACACGGTGTGCAGTGTGCACGAATAGCTTGTTTAAACTATGACTAGGATTTTTAGTGTCTCTGAGTCACGAAACCTTTCTATCCGCTTTTCGGCGATAGTAAACGTTTATCCTTCGAGCTGCTAAGCCTGAGCTGATGTAGTCGCCCTAACGTCTGATATACTTGGAAATAAGCGTTGTGTATCCAGCGAATTTTCTACTCGGAACCTCAATGAATACACTGTAACAGACACTGTGTAATCCTGACCCTTTTTTCCCGACGTTGTGCTAACACTGTCTTCCTTCTTTGCCTTCAGGCGAAGCTTGGCCTGCACGAGGGTCAGAACGAGGCTCTGTTCAGCGTGACTACCGCCTACCAGGGCACCTCGCGCTGCAAGTGTAACATCTTCCTCTGGCGGTACGACGACAAAATCGTCGTCTCCGACATTGACGGCACCATCACAAAGTAAGTTCCGGGCACGACACTGACCTCGTCCGAGCACGGAATGGACCGCTCTTCCTTCCTATTCTCTCGTTCCCGTTGGGATCAAGCCTCTGAGCTAGAGGCTTACCTTGGCCTGATTCAGGGTTCAAGGGCTAAGAAAGGCTAAGGGATCAATTCAACACCGCCGATTTTGTGCGCCCAGACCTCGATTTTTAACAGGGGAATTGACCTCTGAACTTGAAATACTGCGCCACAAAGAAGCCAGGCTACTTTTGGTATCACACTTATCGTTTTCCTTCTCTTTGTCGGCATGGCTGGCTACGCGTCGGCCCACGCGTGCGTTGACTTTTCGCCGAGCTGTGTGCTATCGCGGTAGGTACTCGCTGGACTGGGAATCGCGCAGCTGAGAATGCGGCGTAGGTAGATGATACCTGGGCAGGATCGCGATGATCGGAGGGGGAGGGGGCTGACGAACCGTCAAGGCCGCTGTGTCGCTCGTGCCGAACCGGCCGCGTCGCGGACAGAACGGCCTTGTCGCCGGTCACACCAGTTTGTTGAGCGGTGCTTTGTGCTCCCGCTCAGTCAGTGATCCGCTACAGTTCATTGTTCCCTGTGAACTGTAGGGTTTCGGCTGCAGTACTGGTGCATGGCGCAGATTTAGAGCGAAGCTGACGATCTGTCCCTGACCTGTAATCGACTTTGACACTGACTGGGGCCGCAGTCACGTGGTACTGCCATTGGCACTGACAGTGACCACCGTAGGAATCACGTGCCGACGGCGTTTGATGGCTTCAGGGTGGGGTGGCGAGGAAAGGTAGTCACGTGTCGCGTGCCAAGGAACCGTGAGGTGCAAGCGTGTAAGATAGGAGCGTCTCAGGGACTGTGCTAATCCAACAGCTCTGCTATCTATTGAACGTAGGGATTAAGATTGGCCGTGGCGAAGCCTGTAACCTCGCCGATTATGGCCCTGGGGTGGGGCGGACCGTGGCCTTCCTTTTAGGGAAGCCGTTGCTCGCTATCACTCACGCCATAACCTAAAGTGTACAGACATCGCCCGTTCCCTACATTCGACGAAACAGCTGCTGATGTCGCCGATATGTCGAGGAAAATGGCCCTTGTCGGTGACTGAGGTTGGTGCCAGTTGGACCCGGCCGGCCCGCTGGCAACTCTACCCTCCCTGCCGGGGGGCGGGTCCGGGCCGGGTCGGTATGGAGCCGGGCATGACCCAGCGCCGCGGCCCGCCCTATTTCAGGCCGGCCGTTGACCCTCGGCGGTGGGCGGCAGCGACTACCTGGTGTCAGTGTGTCGTGTCCCCTGGTTATCACTGGCACGGGGTGGACGCGTGGACCCTGTCCGCCAGTCGCCTTCCATTAGTCGGCCCGGTAACCTAGTGACGATACGCGATACAAGTCAGTCTGTTAGGGTGGTGGCGTGTTTTGATATTAGCTAGGATAGTGGCCGTCCTGAGGATTAGTAGAATGTAGATATCTGTGACTGGGAGCGGAATGCCTGTGTGAATAGATCCGGCGTGGTTGGCTGGCGTCGCCTCTCCCACGTGATGCCACGTGCTAGAGCTGGCTTCCGGGCGCCGCCGCCGCCTGGCGTCGATGGGGGGGGGGGGGGGCATCGGTAGCGTCGGCTGTCGGCAAAACTTGGAGCTCGGCCCACCAAACTCCGGCACAAGTTCCAACAATTCAAACATCCATTTTCCAGCGATCGGTAGACCGACCCAGACTGTCAACGACGGTGCTAGCATCGTTCGGGTATCATAATAAAGGGCGTGGTATATGATTTATTTATTTTACGCAGTCGTCCCGGCTGAAATTGACTCAGAACTCTGCCGCTTGGCTGTGACTGCGGTCTGAGTGTTACATCATACGCTAAGTCATGTTTCGCCGTCACGTCAGACGCAATTTACGGGAGTGAAAAGCACGGCGGCCCGTGCCGTGGTCGGTAAATTATCGACTCTATTTGGATGCAGATTACTGCAGGCGCTGATGGCCCTATTCCGCCCGCGTTGGACGGGGTGCTATATTAGCGGTGTGCGGGTCGATCTGGGTCATTTGGCCGTATTTGGCCCGGCAGCCAGCTGCGCCACAGGCCGCAGGCTGCAGGCCGCAGGCCACAGGCCACAGGCTGCGCCACAGGCCGCGGCGTGCCGGCGACGCAATGCTCCCCTTATCTGGTGCTCTGCTGTCAGCGACACGCGCGGGGCGGTGCCCGCGGCGGCGGCCGACATTGTCAAGGTCACCGGTGGCCGGCGGCATCTCCCCACCTGGCCGAGTGCCAGCGTCGCAGCGCGGCCGACCCCGCCCACCAACCCCGCTCCTCCCCCCCCCCCCCGGCCGGGGAAAGAGTGGGGCGGCACGCGGCGGCTGTGACAGAGACATAGCGGGCCGACGAATGTTGGACGAATGGCCGCGTCGGCCTGCCGAGCTGGCTCGTGTTGAAAGAGTTGGTCGAAAACATCGCGGTGATTGTCCTCCCTCCGGGGGGGGGGGGGCAGCAGAGGCGCGTGATTCGGTTTGATGACAAATGGTTCCGGTCATGTGACCGCCGGGGAGAGGCCAGAGGTCGGCTGACGTCGGAGCGTTGCGTGCCACGGACCGGTCGGCTGACTGACTCGGTCCGCACCGCTCCGAACTGGATCGTTCCCGTCGAGACGATCGTTCCACGTCGCCCCACACGTCGCCCCACGTCCACCCCCCCCCCCCTCCCCCGCCCGGACCGACGTCTGGCACGGGTCGGGTCGGCTGCTCTGTATTGGTGGTATGGTCTGGTTAATGAGGGTCACCAGAGGTCACTAGTCCATTTCTCAATCCCACAGCGTCTTACGTAAGCAAAGCACATTGAATGGTTTTCGTCAAGTCAGATTGCAGCTGGGAACTTATGGAATCTGCTATTGCATACAGACAGATGTCGGCATATTGCAGACTCGTGCAATCCTTCTTGAATTCTGGTTTTGCATATTGTTTCATATGAATGTGTTGCTCAATGGACATTGGACATATTACCTATACATTCATTTAGCTCCTAGAGAATGAAACGACTTTGTTTTGAGTGCAGCTCTCGGTAATTTTTTCCATGCAATAATCAAGTTCAGTTAAAAATAAAGTTCGATGGCTTTATACGATGTAGTGGAATGTAGTGGTGCAGCGGAGCGAGCGCTGGCTGGCCGGACCTGGCCGCTGGACGCTGCCCTGGGTACGGGCGGCCGTCACGCGCCCGCCGACGGTGAACCTGACACCGCAGGGGAATGGGGTCGGTGAACTGACGCCGCAGGGAGGGGGCGGAGAGCACGCCCGGCCATTGTTCGGGATTAAGAGGCTGAGTCAGTCGGGAGTCAGGGCTGAGACTGGAAGGTGTTGTTGAGCGTTCTGTGGTGTGGCCGAGGTGGTGCAGAAGACCGTGCTTTGTCTGACTTTGTAAGTTCGGAATACTCACTTTTTTCTTGAGACCTTTGGATTTGCCGGGCGGACGAACTGTGGTGATCAGAGACAACTCCTACAAGCTATTTCGGCACCTAATATCATGGCCAGTTTTGATGTCAAATTAATTCCGGAATTCGACGGCTCCGGTGACGTGCTCGACTGGCTGGAGAAGGTCGAGCTAGTGTGCGGGCTGCAGGAGCCGCCAGTGAGGCAGACGCTGGTGATACCCCTGCGGCTGAAAGGAGGAGCATCTGCTGTGTATCGGCAGCTGGTGGAGGCTGACAGGAAGGACGTGGTGAAGCTCAAGGATGCGCTGAAGCGTGCGTTTGCGGTGGATAAATACGCTGCGTATGAGCAGTTCAGCACCCGCCGTCTCCGCCCCGGGGAAACAGTTGATGTTTTCTTGGCGGAGCTGCAGCAGCTTGCGACGCTGTTCGGAGGAATGTCGGACGAGGGCCTGGGGTGTGCCTTTGTGGCAGGTCTGCCGGACTCTACCAGGCAGATACTGCGAGCTGGAGCGCGCATGGAGTCGTTAAAGCTCTCGGAGGTGGTGGACAGGGCTCGCGCCATCTTGCGAGAGGAGAACGGCGCATCGGAGGTGGCAGCCGCGCTGGTCAAAGAGTCACCAGGCGGTCGGGATCGCGGCCGAACCGTCAGTAGCGGCAGGAGAGAGCGCGGACCTTGCTTTACGTGCGGCCGCCTGGGGCATCTCGCCCGTGAATGTTCGGCCCGCACTGGCCCCCGCGAAATCCGGTGTTTCCGGTGCGACAAGACTGGTCACATCGCAGCTCGGTGTCCGGAAAACGCGGAGAGAGAGGAGGATCGTGTGCCGGCCTCCTCTCGGGATTAAGATGGAGCGGCGCACTACCAACGAGACACCTGAATGTGAACGGGGTGTTGTGTGAGGTGTTGATCGACACGGGATGTACCAGAACGGTGGTTCATTCGTCGCTCTGCGCCGAGTGGAAGAGGCGTTCTGTGTCCATGGTGACAGTTAGTGGTCAGAGAGTGGACTGTGCGGGCACGGCTGAAACCGATGTTGGGGTACCTGGGGGTGATGCTGTGGTGCTTGATGCGTTGGTTGTAGCGGTGAAGCCGCTGGGTTTCGGTGCAATTTTAGGAATGGATGGTGTGAAAGCTCTTGGGGGTGTGACCGTGCGTTCTTCTACTGATGTGCGATTTGCAGGCGAGGGAGACGTGTGCGCCGGAGCAGGAGGCTCCGTGGACCTAGCGGTGGAAAAGGAGGACTTTCGAGTCGTGTTCGATGCGAGGGAAAGGCGCTGGACTGTCGAGTGGAAGTGGTCGGGAAAGAAACCGCCAGATCAACTGAAAAACGGAGTGAGCGAGTACCATGTGACGGATGAAGCGAGAGAGGACTATGAGAGAGAGCTGGAGACGTGGATCGAGAACGGGTGGCTGCTGGAGTACGACGAAGAAAAGCATGGCGCTCCCAAAGGGCTGATACCGTTAATGGCGGTGGTTCAAGAGAACAAGGCGAAAGTGCGGCCGGTCCTTGATTTCCGGGAAATGAACACTCACGTCGACACGTTCACGGCGGACGTTGACGTGTGCAGTGAGAAGCTTCGTGAATGGCGCCGGACGGGTGAGAAAGTGGCACTCCTGGATCTGAAGAAGGCGTACCTTCAGATACATGTGGAGGAGTCACTGTGGCCCTATCAGACAATCGAGTTCAAAAACAAAAGGTACTGTCTGACGAGACTTGGGTATGGTCTTAATGTGGCACCCCGAGTCATGAAGACGGTTCTGGAGACAGTGGCGAAGCAGGACAAGAACGTGGAGAAGGCAGTATCGTCGTATGTCGATGACGTTCTGGTCAACGAGGAGGTAATGTCGGCCGAGAAGGTGGCCGAGCACCTTCAAGCCTTCGGTCTCGAGTGTAAGGACCCCGCTCGCGCACAGGAAGGCGCTCGGATTCTCGGCCTCCGAGTCTGGGGGGAGCAAGGCGCACTCATGTGGAAGAGAGACAACGATGTCCGAGAAGTTGCCGGACCGGTGACAAAGCGGAAAGTGTTCTCCCTCTGCGGGCAGCTGACGGGGCACCTTCCGGTGTGCGGCTGGCTGCGGCCGGCGACCTCGCTCCTCAAACGACGTGCGAACAGAGCAGCAAGTGGCTGGGACGACGAGATTGACGACCCGGACGTGGAGCGTCTAATGGACGAAATTGTGAAGCGGGTCAGAGCAGAGGATCCTGCCAGGGGACGGTGGGATGTGAAGGGCGACAGAATCACAGTGTGGACGGATGCCAGTGCTCTGGCCATGGGAGTAGTTGTTGAAGTGGGTGACGAAGTAGTGGAAGACGGGAGCTGGCTTCGCCCCGACAATGGAGTACAACACATCAACATGGCAGAGCTAGACGCAGCCCTGAAAGGCGTGAACATGGCCATCCTGTGGGGCGCGGAAAGAGTCCGGTTGATGACTGACTCACGGACGGTGTACCACTGGATCACCGACCTCCTCAGTGGCAGGGCCCGACTGAAGACGAAAGCTGCCTCTGAAATGTTGATAAGAAGAAGGCTAAGCACCCTCAGGATGCTCGTGGACGAGTACGAGCTGGACGTGAATGTTCAGTGTGTCTCGTCGGCTGAGAACAAAGCGGACGCACTGACGAGAGTGCCGGACGCCTGGCAACGGGTGCTTATGTGCAAAGAGGAGGCTGCAGCATGCGCTGTGGGAGACGGAGACGACCCCGACAGGCTGGTGAAAGAGGTGACCCAAATTCACCACGCTTCTGGTCATCCTGGTGTCCGGAGGACGCTATACTTCGCTAGGAGGGCGAACAAGCTCGCTACGAGACGACTTGCGCAGGCCGTGGTGTCGGCCTGTCAGACGTGCAGGTCTGTTGATCCCGCTCCTGAAAAGTGGCGCGAAGGCCGCCTGGAGGTCGACACCACGTGGGACAGAGTCGCCGTCGACGTGACTCACCATCATGGGTGTCTGTACCTAACGGTGGTGGATTGCGGCCCATCCAGGTTTGCGATCTGGCGTCTCCTGCGGTACGAGACCGCCGCATGCGTCATTGCGGAGCTGGCGGCGATATTCTGCGAGCGGGGACCGCCGGCAGAAATGTTGCTGGACAATGCCACCACCTTCCACAGCAGGGCGTTTAGAGCTTTCGCCAACGACTGGAACGTCGCAGTGCGATACAGGGCGGCGCATGTGCCGTCAGGGAACGGAGTCGTCGAAAGGAACCATCGCTCCATAAAGGTGATTGCGACGAGAGCGAAATGTGGGGTGGCAGAGGCAGTATACAGGTACAATACAACGCCGAAGGACGATGTCACTGAAGCTACGACACCTGCTGGTATGGTGTATCGGTACGACGTCCGAGTGAAAGACGTCGACCCCGTTCCGACAGTGAGGGACGATGGACAGCAGGAGAGCCGCTACCACGTCGGAGATGCTGTCTGGGTGAAATCACCGAGAGCACGCTGTGACGAGCAGTATGGCAGGGGAGTGGTGACTGGTGTGGTGTCACCGCAAACTATCGAAGTTGACGGTGTACCAAGGCATGTCCGTCATCTGCGTCCGCGTGCAGACGAGGCAGAGCAACCAGTTTCCGCAGAGGCAGAGCAACCAGTTTCTGGGGATGAGGAGCCCTGCTTTGTACGGTGTCCCATCGACCGGCATGACCGAGACGACCAGCAAGACCAACAGGAAGAAGCTGCGAGTGACACAGAGGCTGGGCCGAGGCGAGGTACGCGGGCTCGGCCTGTCACGCAGTTGTACGGAGACCCCGTGCCGAGCGATGTCTTAGATACCTACGTATGAGCGTTGTTAGCGTGTGATGTGAGCACTAGCGTCTGTTGGTTGCGATCAGGATCGGGGGGGAGTGTAGTGGAATGTAGTGGTGCAGCGGAGCGAGCGCTGGCTGGCCGGACCTGGCCGCTGGACGCTGCCCTGGGTACGGGCGGCCGTCACGCGCCCGCCGACGGTGAACCTGACACCGCAGGGGAATGGGGTCGGTGAACTGACGCCGCAGGGAGGGGGCGGAGAGCACGCCCGGCCATTGTTCGGGATTAAGAGGCTGAGTCAGTCGGGAGTCAGGGCTGAGACTGGAAGGTGTTGTTGAGCGTTCTGTGGTGTGGCCGAGGTGGTGCAGAAGACCGTGCTTTGTCTGACTTTGTAAGTTCGGAATACTCACTTTTTTCTTGAGACCTTTGGATTTGCCGGGCGGACGAACTGTGGTGATCAGAGACAACTCCTACATACGATATCTGTGAAGAATCAGCCATGTTTCATAAACCCTTTATTCTACGTACAACTGTTTTTGCCGAGCGCTACTTCTGGCCAATCTGTATGGTCGTGTTTAGGTGAAACCGTGTTGGCGTCAATAAACCTTGTCTATGGCGCCGGGCTGACCTCTCGATTTGCTTTATCCGGCGTTCTCGGTCGGTTTGTTAGGGCGTCTGGACATGGCCGATGGGTCGCCCACCGGGGGTGCTGGGAATTCGCTGATGGCCGCCCACCGGGCGTGTTTGGATTATGTGCCGACCACCGAGGCGTGTTAGACTGGTCAGCACTGTGATGACGTCAGTCGGCCTCCTGTTATTATGGTGAACCGCACGTCACTTTAGCTTTTTCCTCCGTCTATGCCCAGTGGACAGCTTCTGGTAGTGATTATTTTCATTTGGCGTTCAGTCATACATTTCCACCTGAATGTGATGTGCTATTGAGAATATCTATTCTGCATAGCCAGTGCTGTAGCTCTAACAGAGAAAGGAAACTCCTCCCTGAATTATGCATATAGAGGCACACGGTGCCCAGCCCAGTCACCATAGCACCTATCTGGGTGAGGCCCCTAGTGACATGGCCTCTGAGACTGGTCAGTCTAGTGCCGTGTCTACAGACTGGACCATGGACTGTGGTCAGTTTATCTGTGTGGTCGCCCGGTAACTGCTCACGACTCTGTCCTGTGGCCGGGACTGTATACTGATCGGTTTCGGACACAGTCTCGCCGCTGGAATTGTCGTCTGGGCCCCTCTTCCCCGGGGGAGGGCAGACGACCTGTAGCGGGCCCCTGGCACCGATCGGCAGACAGGGTTGTGGTGGGGTGGGAGGCCCCGGGGTCACCTGGTCCGCAGTCTGGACGGGAGCTGTGCGGTGACGTCAGTTGGGGCCCGGTCAGTGGGTCAGAGGAGCCTCCGTGGTCCGAGGTAATGGTCGTAATGTTCCGAACTCGTTCAGTGGGCCAGGAGGAACTCCGTGACCACTTAGGCCCGGTCAGTGGGACAGGAAAGACGCTCGTATGTAATCGCTCAGCATCATAACAATTGATCGTTTGTTGACTGTGTGTATCGTTGTAATTCATGTTGTGTGTATGCTGGTTGTTTGCATGCCAGTCATTGTTCGCCCGCCGACTGCCCTTTAACGCGCCGTGGGTGTGTAACTCTCTTCCTGTCACCGTCGTGTTCCTCTAGGTTTGATTAACTGTCTAAACTATCTGCTATCTCTGCCGTTTGTGACCCTCGGTTGCCTCGCTCACTATTTCGTCGCTCTGTCCCGCCAGGTCGGACGTGTTGGGCCACATCCTGCCCATCGTCGGCCAAAACTGGGCGCAGAGCGGCGTGGCGGCGCTCTACTCCAAGATCCGTGACAACGGCTACAAGTTCCTCTACCTCTCGGCACGGGCCATCGGTGGGTTAACCTATCAGGCCATACCACGCACGGCCCGTCGCGCTATTCTAAACACTTGTCTCGCCACAAGTATGCGGAATTACACGATGAAGTAGCGGAATATCGGCAGTACTGCATGTTTCACGGTCTGGACAGCTGCAGGGGAAACACTCATGACGTATTTAGAACAGACGCTTCTTGTACTGGTGACTGTGAACTTCACAGTAAGGTGGCTCACTGTTGGTGTGACGCCTGTGTCTGACCTCCTGACCCCTCTGTGACCTCAGGTCAGGCGCCCATTACCCGCGAGTACCTGAAGTCGGTGCGCCAGGGTGATCTGAGTCTGCCCGACGGACCGCTCCTGCTCAGCCCTTCGTCTCTAGTCAGCGCTCTGCACAGGTGAGCTTCATGTCCTAGACTAAGTTGATTGTCCTCATATAGTGCTAGCTCTCCATCGTGTTTAACCATACCATCATAGCGCGAGATCGCCGTTATGATAGGGCTGCACTCAGTCTCTCGAACGGCGATCATAATCATGTGATGCGACACGGTCCTCGGGTCTCGGGACAACGTCCGGGCGATATGGAATCGTGCTCCGTTGTGTTAATTACAAACTGTTAGAACGAATGCGAAATATGTCAGCGTTGACGCAGTGTGACCCATATGGATTTTTCTGCTTTCCAAGTCTGGGTGACTGGGCAAATGTTGCACTGTGCGTGCACATCGCACAATACGTCGCAATGCACATGTGCGACGTGCGTGAAGTGGGCCAGATATGTGACGTCAACCTAGCGGAACGATAAGAGATGACAACAGACAGCATCCTGCTGTGCACGGAACGACGTAAATTCACAGGCGCTGCCGCGCTGCGACGGATACCACGCCGCGTCCTAGCTTTGCCGGCCTGATCCGGCTCCCAGTGAAAGCGCGCACATCAGCTCGGCTTTGTGCGGTATCGCGGCAATGAATAGGCGCCATCAGCAGGGTCTATGTTTAGCCGGGCTGGGCAGTCGGGGCGCGGGAGGACGTTCGTTCTCAGCCTTATCGAATTTCCCTCCCGCGTCTCTCTCCCTGTCTTGCGCTTCTTTCTCCCCTAAACTCCTGCCGACGGCGGCAACAGCTGTGCCACCCGGGGCGTCCGTTCCATCCCGCTGGAAGCCACACGGCGCGACTCAGGGGTCCTCGCTCGTGGCCCCCCGCTCCTGTGTGTATCGTATCTAGGGTTACCCAGCCGGGCACTACCCCGCTGTGAACGAGCGACCCTGTGAGCGACCACCGACGGATCCGGGCTAGCGTGACCTCCGCTCGGCCATGTGTTCCGTGTCTAGGGTGACGCCATATCGACCCCGCTCACCCCGAACTGAACGGACCGGCTGCGGCGGACAAGCGGCGCACATCAGCCAATTGGTGCGGATTTGTGACGTCAGCGTGACGTCACTGTCAGGAAGGCGTATATCGTCCGTTGTGCGTTGTTCAGTGATTTGACGCCGTGGTCAGTGGTGGCTTGCGGCGTAGTACTCTGACAAGGGGAATTAACTCCCCCCCCCCCCTCCACCTCCCGTCCACTGCGTCGTGACATTTGCCAACACGAGCACGTTCAGCCACCCACAAAAAGGTGATAACATGTGAACTGTCTGCGTCTTTAATGTACCAAATTAATCATCGTTATAAGTCGTACAGTCGAAGCGCGGGAGGCTCACGTAGTTAGTTTGCTAGCCGTATGAGGTCTCAATGGTTCTTTGCAACTTCGTTAGTAAAGAGTCTATAGCTCGAGACCCAGTGTCACGAACCTAACTTGGTGTCACGACCGATATCCCGTCGTGTTCACTGCGGTCGAACCCCGAACGCCTCCCGCCGCGCGTCCCTGACCGTGCCCCGTCGGCCGTTGGTCGGCCTTGGCAGCTGCCGTATGCCGTTATCTCCCGTATCGGCCGTGGTCCGGCAGTGGCTCGGGTGACCGTAGCTATCGGCGCTATCGTGGCGCTGATTTACTCATTGGGAGGAGGGGAGAGAGGGGGGTGTTTGAGAAGATAGGGAGAGTGTTTGAGGAGAGGAGATTCTGCGTCGCACCTGCTGCGTAGTATCTGCAGCCCATTATCCTGATTTCGTGACTCGTGGAAAAGCCGTCATGCGCATATGACTGCGTTGTAACGCCAGCCCCGGTCCCGGGTGACTAACTATTTTGGTGCGGACAGGGGCGGCTCAAATGTTCCAGGTGTTGACGTGGCCGCGTGTCCAGCCATTAATGCTCCGTGTCTGGGGTGTATTTTGTGGCCGGACACGACCGATGGGACGGTGGTGCGTGCGACGTACGCAGCGGTGACGTCTCGTTACGTCATCTGAGATAGAGCGTGAGAGCGCGGGCAGAGCAGCGGGGCTGCGCGGCGTCCTGACTCACCCCTGCACACCGGGAACGTTTGGCAGCGGTGTGCAATAGCCAGCTCCGTATGTGTGTCTGTTTGCGGGCAGCGGGGTAGAGTGTCCTGTGCAGGAGTCGTCACTGCCAGTGCCAGGAGAGTGGCGCAATGCCGCACTCTGACAATGTTTTGGCCCCGGGATTGTTGAAATCAGCATTCCACGTAGGCGATTGGTGCCGTCATTTGCCAGCGTCGTAGCCAGCAGGTGTCGCGATGACCAGCGAAAAGTCCACATTTTTGCAGGTTGGGATTTTTCCATTTTGCAATGTTGGCTACGGCTAGTGGAAAATATTGTAGAACAAGCACAAGCAAGCTAGGAATCTTGTTTCGCAACGTGCCTGTCAGGTTCCGGGAGTTTATTGTACACATTAACGCTGCTGCAATTCTGCTTGATTTGTGTGTTTTTCTTGCCCAGTTGTTCCATTTAGGCGCAGTATCACCCCTGTGCCGATGACGTAATCAGTGTTTATGCCCCCCTCACGCCGATGGTGTGCGCCTCTTTCGCAATGCCGCTGAACTGCAGAGTCCGACGCCCTTTTGATTGATATATGCGCCAGTATGTTGGTGTGGACGTCAGTGAAAGAAGGAGATCCGGAGCACTGAGCGCTCGCCGCTGGGCATGTTTTGTGTGGTTTGTTCATTGAGGTCATTCTGTAGTTTTTGCATTGTCTCTTTTTGCCGTGTTGTCGCCTTCCTCAATGAACCTCTTGTTATGTTCGGTAGTTCATTTAATCAAGTGCACAAGTGCGGCCTGAATCAAGTCTGTGGGTTGTTGCCGGTAGTGAGCTGTCATTGTTTTTTGACAACAAACAGCTATGTGTAAACCCGTATGTGCTAGGCGCTAGCAAAGGAAACTACTGTCTCTGGATCTCAGATCTGTCGCTATGCTGGTGCCTCAATGATGGTCGGCATGTTCGTGCTTTGTAACCCACCGTCATGTTGTTCTGTTGCCGTCTACACTCGCAGTTCACACGCCCCACTGCCGTGATGCCGTGCCGTCCTCACCTGCTTGCTCCCCGTGCCACACATAGCCCGCGTTACTGACCGGTCCATGTCCCCTGTCTACCCAGGGAGGTGATTGAGCGTTGCCCTCTTCTGACCCCTATGTCGTACATTACACGTGTACCGTGTAGCTGAACGGTCCGTGTCCCTCTGTCTCCCCAGGGAGGTGATCGAGCGCCGCCCGGAGGACTTCAAGATCCCGTGTCTGCGTGACATCCAGGCGCTGTTCCCGGGCCGGAACCCTCTGTACGCCGGCTACGGCAACCGGGTGAACGACGCGTTCGCGTACCGAGCCGTGGGCATCCCGTCGTCGCGGATCTTCACCATCAACCACCGCGGCGAGCTGCGTCACGAGCTGACACAGACCTTCCAGTCCTCGTGAGTGGCCACGCGCTCGTGCCTGGGAGGGCGGTAGGGAGGGGGTTCGTGGCAGGACGGCGATGGAGGAGAGAGAACGGGAGCTGTGGATAGTCGGATGGGGGGCTTTTGAGGTTGGGTTGGGTACAGCCTATGAGCTTACATTCAGCTTTGAAGTGCTGGAAACACTAGGTACACTCGGGGGCAGATTGATGTTCCACAACTCCTTATCCACCGGGTTCCTATGGCTCAGCATTGGCAGCAGCCGCCTGGTACCGGTAGACTGTGCCGCTTCACTTACTTGTCAAGCGGCACAGCCTACCCACACCGTATGCCACCGGTCTGGGTCGGTGGCTGTAAGGCGATGTGGGCCGCCTGTGACGTCAGCGCAGCGGTGAGGGCCGAGCCCGGAGGCATGGCTCGGGTCGGCGCGGCGCGGCGGCTGGCGAGGGCTGGGGAGTGAGGTGGGGTGGGAGCACGGACCATCGCGCGGCTGAGCGAGTGTAGTTAACTTTCGCGTCTCAAGGCGCCAATTATTCTACCTAACAATTGTGCTAAAGCAGTTGTTAAAATGTCTTATCCCCAAGACAGCGCCTATCATCATACTTGCCATGCACATTACGACACACTTAAACGTGACATTGGGACAGCCGATAGAATTTATATCGCACGTGCATCGAGTTGCGGAGCTACATTGTTTTTAACAGATATGTATTAAGGCCTTGATTGAGCTCATTGGTGTCTATTATTTCGCACAGCAATCGTCCAGAGACGTGGGAACTGGGGTTTTTGGATAGCGCGGCGTCCCAAAGCAACTCTTATGTTCCTCTAATGTGTGGTCGCAGCCACCAATAGCAAACCGTTCCATCTAGGAACCTGGAACAAATAAGTCGCGCACCTGGGACGGTTCGAACCGGGTTTCTCCAACCGGTCACCCCACGACGCTAGCGTGTATCCACTGAGCTGCCGAAACCAGCGACCACCCGCCGCGGTCAAACGCGATCAAATGTCACAATACTGTCATTGGCGGTCAGCGGGTGAATGTCATTTTGTTTTGTGCGGACGAGGACCATTCTCGGTAGCTCAGTGAATGAACGCTCGTGTCGTGAATTGGCCGGTGGGAGAAGCCCGGTTCGAACCCCCCTGAGTGGCCGACTTTTTGGCTCCTAGTTGGAACGGTTTGCTATTGGAGGCTGCGACCACATATTAGAGCAACAGTAATAATCGCTTTAAATTGGAGCGTTGGCTGCGGCACTACTCATAACCCCCAGTTCCCACGTCTCTGGACGATTGCCGTGCGAAACAATAGACACCAATCTGCTCGATCAAGGCCTTAATACTAATATGTTATGCAAAATATAGCTCCGCACCTCGATGCACGAGTGACATAAGTTCTATCGGCTGTCCCATTGCCACGCTTAAGTGTGTCGTAATGTGCATTGCAAGTATGATGATAGGCGCTGTCTTGGGGATAGGACATTTTAACAACTGCTTTAGCACAATTGTTAGGTAGAATAATTGGCGCCTTGAGATGCGAAAGTTAACTACACTCGCTCAGCCACGCGATGTCCGTGCTCCCACCCCACCTCACTCCCCAGTCCTCGCCAGCCGCCGCGCCGCGCCGACCCGAGCCATGCCTCCGGGCTCGGCCCTCACCGCTGCGCTGACGTCACAGGCGGCCCACATCGCCTTCCAGCCACCGACTCAGACCGGTGTCATACAGGTGGGTAGGCTGTGCCGCTTGACAAGTAAGTGAAGCGGCACAGTCTACCGGTACCAGGCGGCTGCTGCCAATGCTGAGCCATAGGAACCCGGTGGATAAAGAGTTGTGGAACATCAATCTGCCCCCGAGTGTACACTAGTCTGATGAGCTGAACACCGGAATAATTGATCACACCATTATCACCTACTGTGGAGAAGGAAACTAGACCTCCCACTCCCCGATGGAGGTCTAGTTTCCTTCTCCACATATCTTTACAATTATCTACTTTATTTCACCGGAACTCGGCCAGGCACTGCTGGTTGTGGAGAAAATATAGAGACTGACTGGGGACACTGGCTTGGAAGTGGTGGTGGATGGGCAGAACTGTGGTTCGCGCGAACACACACATCACGCATGCTTTGTGATGTCCTTCGTCAGCTTTCCAGCGGGCTGTAAAGGCTGCGTTCGACATCAGACACTTATTTAGCTTTCTGTCTTTAGAGTGCTTTCCTCAGCAGCTTTCCAACCCAGCACATTCGGACATCGCTGATAGGCGCTACGTCCTTACAATTACGTCCACGATTCCACGGCTCGGCATTGATGTTCAATGAAGTAATTGAAACGTTGGTGCATTAGTAATTTATTGAGAGTCATGTCTGATAAACAGCATTTGCTTTATGAGCTGGATTGCATCTAATTGCATTATCTTCGTAGTTAACCGATCCGTGGAATCGCCGACTCCGCTTTCGGCTGTAGTCTGTTGGGTGTGGCTTTCTGTCGGTTATTCCCGATGCGCGGGGCGGCCGCTGCCCGTCCGTCGCTCCTCTCCGCTTCTGAACGGTGGCGTGTGGGCGGGTTTCAGCTTCCTGAGCCAGGCGCGCGAGGTGGACTGGCTGTTCCCGCCGCCGCTCGTGCGGAGGGAGTCGCCGGCGGTGGCTGTTCCGATGCCGGTGCCGCAGCCGGGCCGCCGCTGTAGCACAGATAGTCTCGGCCTGCGACCCGCCTCCAACTCCATCGATATTCCCCGGCGACACGCAGCGCCCGGTGAGCGTCCGACGACGACCTGACCTGACCCGACCCGACCCGGCCTGACCGGACCTGAGGACCTGACCCGACTGCGGCTCACCTGTCCTGACCTGGAGCTAACCTGGCTTGACCTGGGGTCCATCGCCGAACGGGGGTGACATGACCGGGCCGGACCAGTCCTGACCTGACCTGACCTGACCTGACCTGACTGGAATGAAAATGAACATAAAAATTTCCTGACCTGACTTGCCTTGGGCTGAGCTGACCTAGACTAATAGGATCGAAGCTGACGTGCTGAGTGCCGACCTTGCAGTTAACCCGCGCCCTGGTGGGGTCTGTTTATAACGCGACCTGGTGGGGGGGGGGGGGCTATTTTTTGCCCCCCCCCCCTCGTATCTCCGAAACTACTGGACGGATCCGAAAAATTCAAACGGCGTTCGATAGCCCTGTCAAATTTGTCTAGGGAAACCAAATTTTATTGACCTCAGGGTCACCGATGACGTCACAGGTCAGGTCAAAGATAAAATGTTTCACCATTCACGGGGCTTCTAGGGAAAGCGCTATAACACCGAGTAAAACGCATTTTGTCGAAAATCAGCGATAAGACGTCAGTTGTCTAGTACATATGTTGCTATTAGAGGTCACTGGTCATACCAGGTCAGGTCACAGGTCAGGTCACCAAAGGTCACCAGGGGTTACCACATGAACCCAACTTTACTAAGGTTGTGCGATGCATGTTTTATGGCCAGTTTTTCATTTCCAACCCAATGGTGTTGGTTATAAGACCATCAGGTACGGTTTAGGTCACTTTCTGGTGGAGGTCAGGTCAAGGTCAGGTCAAAAAAGGTCAAATTTCAAAGTTGATATTTTTGCATAAAAAGGATATCGATTCGATGCAGCTCGTCACGGGGAGTCTAATGGTGGTCTTTGTTTTGCACTACGAGGTCTAGAATTGCAAAAAATTGAGTTTGAAAATTTGACGTCATCAATTTTGAACAGTTTTTTCGCTATAACTTCGCCAAAAAAAGAGGTATCAATCTAAACTTTGGTATGTGGATGGAAGGCGGTAAGGACTATGACATATATTCCGGTTTTTGCGAAATTCAAAAAACTTTTTGGATTTTTTGACTATTATATCCCAAAAATCTATTTTTTGATTTTTGGGGGTCAAAACCAAAAAAAATCAAAAATCCGAGATAGCAGTTTTGTAGCCCTGTCAATTCTACAGCTTTTATGTCCTAAACATTTTTCTGTATTTGCAAAGCTATAGGCCTGACAGCTCTTCCCGCGAAACCTTTTTTTGGGTCGAAAACGGCAGAACATGACGTCACTCTGACGTCATTTCCGGCCAACCTATCATAGCTTTTGGAAAAAAATTTTGGTCACAATGTGTAAAATTGATGTCCGGGAGGGTACTGAAAGTTTGGTGACGATCGGCGCAGCGGTTCAGGAGATATATCGAAAAGTCTGGAGGGGGGGGCAAAAAATAGCCCCCCCCCCACCAGGTCGCGGGTTAAGTGGACACGGAGCCTGGCGTTATTATGTTCGCGAGTGGTTCTGAACGATCATTTTATTGCTTCTCTGATCCGACGGTTCCAGAATAGCTTTCGTCGTTTTTTTTTTCGTCGACTGAATGCTGACTGATGAAGAGCAGACATTCTGACAGGCCCAAGCCAAGACTTTTAACAATATGACTGGGACTAACCTGACCTGACCTGACCTGGCCTGATCCAGCCTGGCAGTACGTTACTGCCAGGTCGTGCTGCAGATTGTCGTCTGGTTCCTGCATGTCGGGATTAAACACCAGCTCCCCTGAAATCCTCTCGCCACTCTTCCAGTCTTCGTCCGTTGAGCTCCTCATCTAAAGTTTGATATCCAGCTTTTCATAAATGAGCCGTCATCGGTTGACTACCTGCTCCGATTGAACAGATGTCGGCAGTTTGCTTCCACAACTCCTGATGCACGGAAAACATACATCTTCCAAAGCGATCGCAGATCACGGGATCTCGCTTAGCTCGTGCTGAACCCCGACGTTCCTATTCATCCTTCGGTTGACTAGCGTTGGCCCAAGGAATCTCGCCTAGTTCCAATGGAAACCAGACGTCCCTATGTCTCTTTCGGTGGACTAACGTTGGCGTACGGGCAGCGGTGACTGATAATCGGGTGCTATACTAACACCACCTAGTGGCGGAGTCGATAAGCTGCGGTCCCAGGAGCTGCCGTGCGGCGCGGTGGGGGCGAGCTTTTGGCAGTGCTGTGTTGCATCTACTTCAGCATGTTGGAGGTTGGGGACGCCTCGGTTTTGGATGGCAGTGCGGGCTAATCACGCTTTGGGTGACACTTTATCAGCTGTAAGCTGATAACTCGTTTTGACTGCTGTCAGAATTGACTGACATCAGTCAGACTGTCCAGTGTCTGATAATGTTTTTGTACTGGGATGATGTGCTCGTTCTAGTGTCCTCCTTTTGGTGCTTATGACACTCGACATTGACATTACAGACCATGGCGGGGTCACAAAGGGCCTGTTTTGTGGTATATTCTGTCTAAGTCTTTTATTCGATTAGTTTTTATTCATGGCAAACTATTCACGTTGATAATGCTTTTCACAATATCTGCCTTTGTTTGTTTCGTTTCGTAGTTTTCTTTACATTCGGGTAGTCTCACTGACAAGCCGCAATCGACTGACTATTGTCTCCTTTTGTTTCAGCTATACAAATCTGACTCACATTGTGGACCACTTTTTCCCGCCTTGTGGTGATCGCGACGACGTGGCTAACCTAGACTACAACTCGTTCGTGTACTGGCGGGACCCGATCCCGGAGCTCAGCGAGCTGCCTCAGCTGTGACCTGGCTACGGGCCGTGCCGGACTCGTGTCGCGTTCAGTGCCGTGTGCGCGCGGTGCTCACAGGGGTGTGATAGTGAGCGCCTGTGGAGCCGCCCTGGCGCCGCGAGCCATGTCTGAAGTCGGGACCACTGCCGTTGGCCGCGCCGCCGCCGCTACGCGCGCCAGTCACTCCGTTACCGATGTGCCGTGTTTGGGCAGACAGGCCGAGTCTGCCGCTCGTCAGTCACTGTGGTGTTCTAGCTGTTACCGTGTATGTATTTCCACTGTGAACGCGCCGTAGGAGGCGGCGCGTTTCAAACGCCTTGCCGGTCGCGCCATGCCGACTATGATCGGCAGAGGGTCGGTGGGCAGGATTCGGGGAGAAATTATTTTTCACGCAGACGGTAGATGTGTAGAGTGTCGATGTGGGCTTCCGTTGCTACCCGGTATGCTGTTACGTCTGACGGTCCTTGGCTGGAGCTGTAGCCGTTCCTCGGTTGGAGCTGTAGCCGTTCTCGGTTGGAGACGCTGCTCGGTTAGAGTTGTGGCCGGTCCTCGGTTGGATTATGTTGGTTCGGCGCACTGTTGTAGGTGCCCGCCTCCGCCCGGAGCGGGCGCCGCCTGGCTGTGTGAGAGCTGTTTGAGCGCAGGGTACGTCTGGAGCGGGTCCATCGTGTTTGCCGGTCGCCGCCGCGCGCCAACCCAGAGCTGGTTACTCGCAGGTAGCACGCGCCCGCTCGTTTTGTTGTATGTCCGCCGCGGGAAGTCGGTTTGGTTCCTGTAGTCGGCCGTTTACCAATGTGTTATCACGTCTAGTCGGGTGGGTCGGGCCGGGGCGCCATTGCTCTCGGGCATAGTACAATCGCGGCGCTCGGGGCCGTGGAGAAGTGAGGGACGGCAATGCCACTCAAACCTGCTGTTGGCTGCGACTCGCGGCTTATTCCTGGCTTTGTTAATGTTTTATGACTCCATGAAATAAAGAACGCTGCCAATTTGTTGTCTTATTCTCTTGCGTATCGGTACAGTTCTCGTTAGATTGTGAAAATGTACTGTTATGAGACGGTTATCCCGAGGTAAACCATACTGCACCGTGTTTAGGCTCTTAGTCTCGGTGAACAAACATAATAGCCCATTAATGTTAGCAGACATTTAAATCAATAGGTGTATTAAAATCAGTTGCAATGTGTGCACGGTAGTCGTGCGGCCGAAGACAGCTCTGTTGCCCCTGTGCCAGGAACAGGAGCTAAGGATTCCTCGGTGAGTGGTGTCGCGCGCAGTGCAGGACAAGCCACGGGAGTTTCGCTTGTTTTGTTGGGTTAGATCCTTTCTGTCCATTGAGACCATTGCAGAGCCGGGAGGATGATAGAAATTAGGGAAAGACACTGGTCTGGGCAGGCAACCTAGTGAGTCGCCGGGGCCATGAGCCCATCCAAGTCGAAGTGGACGGGCCGCCTAGTCCGGCGGCCAAGTACATACTCGCTGCACCCGGCTACGGGTGTGCCCCTTTGGAGCTGCGGTGCGCTCCAATGGGAGCCGCCTTTCTATACGGCCTTGGGAGCCGCCCGTATAGGATAAATTTGCCTGTCCAGCGTCCAGGGGCTGCAGCGTGGAGGAAGAGGATTTGAAATTTTGAATGTCCGAGGGTGGAACGACGGGACGGGTGCCGCGGGAGCTTTAGGTCCCGCTTATAAGTGCGGATACGCGGGACGTCAGCGGCCGGCGACCGTAATACAAAGCTGACATTGGCGCTTGTAGTTCATCTCCGTGGGTTTAGCTGAGTAGAAGACCGCTTTATTTTGTCAGGATTGCGAGCTCCGGCATCTTCCTAGCATACCGTTGCACTGCACCGCATCGTTACATTTCGTTTTAGAGCATTTGATTGAGCTCAATTTGAGCTTAAGTCCAATGACATTTGAAGCATGCAATATAAGCAATAAGCAGTGGCGTATCCAGGATCTTGAAAAGGGGGAGGCCAAACCTGCTCAAGGGGCCCCACCCATACCTCAGGGGCCCCAGTAGTGGCGTACTTAACCCACGCCCAGGTACGGTTCTTTGCCACTTTCACCATGTGAGGGAGCCTTTTGAGGCACACTCGGCAATCTAAAAAAGAAAAGAAAAACGTGAAAAAGCCATCGATATCGATAGCTCTGTATGTAGTGCACAATTTATTTCAGCAGTAGGCATACAGTTTTTTTTTTTTGCTTTGGTCGTCGCCGGGGCCACTAAAAATTATCAAAAGCAAAATGTTTTGTAATTTTTTACGATTACGATTTACGATTTTTACGATATTTTTCAAAGGGAAGATGTTAATCTCTTGTCTTAGTGGCTTGCGCTGGTTGAGGGCTGATACCCTTAACTTTAGAAGGGCCCGACTCGGGTTGAGCTCTGATCTAGACTCTGATGGCTCTATGTCGCCCACATTGGCCTCACTCCGACCTCTGAAGGCTCATTCTGGCCCCTGAAAGCCCCACACCGTTAACAGAGTGAATCACGCTGGCCTCCGGGCCCCATAATGGCCTCAGGAGACCCATGCTATGGCTGACCTCATAGGCCCCCCCCCCGCTGGCTCTTGGGAGTCTTTGAGTCAGTCTGACGACCCTATGCCGCTCTCGAACCCACGCCGGTCTCTAGAAGCCCATGATGCCCCCTGAGGGTCCCACGCCACTACTGCCTCAGGGGGCCCAAACATGCATAAGATCTGAAAAGTAGTTGCCGAGGCCCTCGAGGTGGCCTCTAATGGCCCGACGTCAGCCTATGAAGGCCCGCGCTGGCTTCTGAGGGTCCAGCACCAGCCTCTGAAGTCTGAAGTCAGATGACAGATGGCCCCACGCTGGCCGCCTCAGAGGGTTCACGCTGGTCACAGAGTGTCCCACATTGGCCTAAAAGGGCTCCACATTGTCTTCAGAGGGCCCCAAGCTAGTCTCGGTGGCCAATGGGCCTCAATCTGACCTAAGAAGGCCCCATGTCGCTGGGCTTAAAAGACCCCACGCTGGACATAGACGGCCCCATGCTGGACATAGAGGGTCCCACACTGGCCTTACAAGGCCCCACACTGGCCTTAGAAGACCCCACAATGGCCTTAGAGGGCCCCACGCTGGCCTTAGAGGGCTGAGCGCTGGCTCCTTAGGGCTCTACACCAGCGTCAAAGGATCCCACGCTCGAGTCTAAACTTCTTTATGGCCGCCAAAGCGACCTCTGAGGGCCCACGCTAGCCTCTGGGGGCTCGGCCTTGGCCTCTGAGGGTCTATGAGGGCCATCAAATGGCATTTTAAGATAGTTTGACGCAGTTTGACTTTATTTATGCTTGGGCCAGTACCTACTTTGGATGAGGCCCTGAAGGATGTGCGTGAAGTTGGCGTCGGATTCGGATTCGTATTCAGCGTCGAGTACCGAATCACTTGAAAACGTCATATCTGGTCAATTCGGGGACGGGGAGCACGAATATGACATTAATTTTGCCCTAGCAGGTATCCCTTATCCCTTAATCGTCCCTTAAACGACGGGGCGCGCCAAAAGTGCCTCAGGGGTTCTTCCGATCGCGAAAAGAATGGTCCCAGGCGATTCCCCGGGTCGATATCTAGCCGCACCACCACTAACTTCACACGTGCCTCATATCCCTTATCCCTTAATCGTCCCTTAAATGACGGGGCGCGCCAAAAGTGCCTCAGGGGTTCTTCCGATCGCGAAAAGAATGGTCCCAGGCGATTCCCCGGGTCGATATCTAGCCGCACCACCACTAACTTCACACGTGCCTCATATCCCTTATCCCTTAATCGTCCCTTAAATGACGGGGCGCGCCAAAAGTGCCTCAAGGGTTCTTCCGATCGCGAAAAGAATGGTCCCAGGCGATTCCCCGGGTCGATATCTAGCCGCACCACCACTAACTTCACACGTGCCTCATATCCCTTATCCCTTAATCGTCCCTTAAATGACGGGGCGCGCCAAAAGTGCCTCAGGGGTTCTTCCGATCGCGAAAATAATGGTCCCAGGCGATTCCCCGGGTCGATATCTAGCCGCACCACCACTAACTTCACACGTGCCTCATATCCCTTATCCCTTAATCGTCCCTTAAATGACGGGGCGCGCCAAAAGTGCCTCAGGGGTTCTTCCGATCGCGAAAAGAATGGTCCCAGGCGATTCCCCGGGTCGATATCTAGCCGCACCACCACTAACTTCACACGTGCCTCATATCCCTTATCCCTTAATCGTCCCTTAAATGACGGGGCGCGCCAAAAGTGCCTCAGGGGTTCTTCCGATCGCGAAAATAATGGTCCCAGGCGATTCCCCGGGTCGATATCTAGCCGCACCACCACTAACTTCACACGTGCCTCATATCCCTTATCCCTTAATCGTCCCTTAAATGACGGGGCGCGCCAAAAGTGCCTCAAGGGTTCTTCCGATCGCGAAAAGAATGGTCCCAGGCGATTCCCCGGGTCGATATCTAGCCGCACCACCACTAACTTCACACGTGCCTCATATCCCTTATCCCTTAATCGTCCCTTAAGGGACGATTAAGGGCAATCGGGGCGCGCAAAAAGTGCCTCAGGGGTTCTTCTGATCGCGAAAATAATGGTCCCAGGCGATTCCCCGGGTCGATATCTAGCCGCACCACCACTAACTTCACACGTGCCTCATATCCCTTATCCCTTAATCGTCCCTTAAACGACGGGGCGCGCCAAAAGTGCCTCAGGGGCTCTTCCGATCACGAAAATAATGGTCCCAGGCGATTCCCCGGGTCGATATCTAGCCGCACCACCACTAACTAAGATATCGACCCGGGGAATCGCCTGGGACCATTCTTTTCGCGATCGGAAGAACCCCTGAGGCACTTTTGGCGCGCCCCGTCGTTTAAGGGACGATTAAGGGATGAGGGATGTGAGGCACGTGTGAAGTTAGTGGTGGTGCGGCTAGATATCGACCCGGGGAATTGCCTGGGACCATTATTTTCGCGATCGGAAGAACCCCTGAGGCACTTTTGGCGCGCCCCGTCATTTAAGGGACGATTAAGGGATAAGGGATATGAGGCACGTGTGAAGTTAGTGGTGGTGCGGCTAGATATCGACCCGGGGAATCGCCTGGGACCATTATTTTCGCGATCGGAAGAGCCCCTGAGGCACTTTTGGCGCGCCCCGTCATTTAAGGGACGATTAAGGGATAAGGGATATGAGGCACGTGTGAAGTTAGTGGTGGTGCGGCTAGATATCGACCCGGGGAATCGCCTGGGACCATTCTTTTCGCGATCGGAAGAACCCCTGAGGCACTTTTGGCGCGCCCCGATTGCCCTTAATCGTCCCTTAAGGGACGATTAAGGGATAAGGGATATGAGGCACGTGTGAAGTTAGTGGTGGTGCGGCTAGATATCGACCCGGGGAATCGCCTGGGACCATTCTTTTCGCGATCGGAAGAACCCTTGAGGCACTTTTGGCGCGCCCCGTCATTTAAGGGACGATTAAGGGATAAGGGATATGAGGCACGTGTGAAGTTAGTGGTGGTGCGGCTAGATATCGACCCGGGGAATCGCCTGGGACCATTCTTTTCGCGATCGGAAGAACCCCTGAGGCACTTTTGGCGCGCCCCGATTGCCCTTAATCGTCCCTTAAGGGACGATTAAGGGATAAGGGATATGAGGCACGTGTGAAGTTAGTGGTGGTGCGGCTAGATATCGACCCGGGGAATCGCCTGGGACCATTATTTTCGCGATCAGAAGAACCCCTGAGGCACTTTTGGCGCGCCCCGTCATTTAAGGGACGATTAAGGGATAAGGGATATGAGGCACGTGTGAAGTTAGTGGTGGTGCGGCTAGATATCGACCCGGGGAATCGCCTGGGACCATTCTTTTCGCGATCGGAAGAACCCCTGAGGCACTTTTGGCGCGCCCCGATTGCCCTTAATCGTCCCTTAAGGGACGATTAAGGGATAAGGGATATGAGGCACGTGTGAAGTTAGTGGTGGTGCGGCTAGATATCGACCCGGGGAATCGCCTGGGACCATT